CGACATTGACAGCACCGCACCGGAGTTAAAATTCCGATTAGCATCAATCCACCTCACCGGTAAAGCTACCCAATGGCACCACAACTATATGAGTACCCGTTACGGTATCTTTCCATCTTGGACTGAGTATATTGTTGCAATCTCTAGTCGTTTCTGTGAACTGTACGACGACACTCTAGCCGAGTTAGTCGAGTTGAAACAAGGCTCTAACTCAGTTGTTGACTTTCTTGAAAAGTTTGAAACTGCTAGAATGATACTTATCCTCCCTAAAGCTCATGCTCTAAGCATATTCTTAGCAAACTTGAACCGTCATCTTTCACTCCACACTAGACAGTTTGAGATCTCTTTTGTGGCTGGAGCTGCGAAGATAGCTATGCTTCATGAATCTTCCCTACTCCACACCCTTAAACCCCAAAAGACTCCCTTCAATTCTAACTGGAAACAGAACCAACCAGTAAACCAAAAAAAGCCAGTCCTTTACCACTACTACTGAGAAGCAACCCCATAAATTTTCTTATAAGGAGATGCAAGACCGACGTGCTAAGGATCTATGTATTTTTTGTGATGAGGTCTACACCCCTGGTCATAGCCTCAAACACAAATGGTCACAAATCTTCATCATGGAGTGTGATGAGGATGAAGATTTATCTTCTGATTCAGACGATGATCAGACAGACATAGCTGCAACAGGACCAGACGATAATACTCAGACGGCACCTGTTATATCGGTCAACGCCCTAACCGGGTCTTCAACATTCAACTGTATGCGAGTGATCGATCATTATGGCAAAAGGAAACTCTACATACTGATTGATAATGGAAGCACTCATAACTTCCTAGATTTGAACGTTGCTAATGTGTTAGGTTGCTTGCTGGAGAAGACAAAACCTATGGACGTTACAGCTGCAAGTGGGTGCACGATGCTTACCAAATACAAATGCAGCAACTTTTCCTAGAATGTTCATGGTTACTCTTATACCTCTGAGATATGAACCCTCCCCCTTGATTGTTGCGACTTAGTTCTCGGTGTGCAGTGGATTTTCACCCTAGGACCCATCCTTTGGGACTTCCTTAACCCAAGAATGGAGTTCACATTAAACGGCAAGAAAAATGTGTTGAGAGGTGTGACAAAAAATGGATGCAAGGTCATTAAAGGGAGTACCTTCAACAAACTGATGCTGCACCAACCTCAAATAGCTGTCCTTCAAGTCCGGGAAATCACTGATGAGGATTCGCACAGCCTCAACCCATGTTCCATGTTATCTCATCTCTCTGCAAATCACAGTGACATGGCCAGTGACCCAGATTTGCAAGCATTACTCAGCGCTTTCTCTGCCTTGTTCGACGAACCAGTTGACCTCCCTCCTTTTAGAGAAGGTTTTGATCATCACATCCAACTGGAATCAGGTGCAAACCCGATCAAATTAAGACCCTACCGTTACTCCACACTGCAGAAGGATGTGATAGATAACATGGTTCGCGAGATGATAACTAAAGGTATCATCCAATGCAGCACAATCCCCTACGCTTCTCATGTTGTTTTGGTGAAGAAAAAAGATGGCACTTGGAGACTTTTCGTATATTTCAGGGGGCTCAACAAACAAACCATCAAAGACAAGTATCCCATTCCGTTACTCGAGGACTTACTGGACGAATTGGGTGGTGCAAGATTGTTCTCCAAGCTGGACTTCCACCAGCTTCGAATGTCACCTGAGGATGTCTACAAAACCGCTTTTAAGACACACTCTGTTCACTACGAGTATCTAGTAATGCTTTTCGGCCTCACCAACGCACCATGCACCTTTTAGAGCCTGATAAATCATGTCTTTCAAGAGGTTCTACGGAAATTTGTCCTTGTGTTCTTCGATGACATCCTCGTCTATAGTGCTTCTTGGGAGGATCACCTCCTACATCTGCACGAAGTGTTTCAGATCCTCTCACACAATCAGCTGTTCCTTAAACCCTCAAAGTGTGTGTTTGGAGAAACATTCATCGAATATCTGGGACACTTTATCTCTGAAGAAGGGGTTCACACTGATCCTAGCAAAATAAAGACTATCAAGTTGTGGCCTACACCTTCTTCACAGAACAACTTCATAGTTTTTTGGGTTTGGCAAACTATTACAGGCGGTTCATCAAAGGGTATAGCGTAATAGCCAAGCCTCTCACATCTCTTCTCAAGAAAGATGGATTCTGTTGGGATCAAGACGTCACGAGTTCTTTCAACGAGCTAAAGACTGCATTAAGTACCACCTCTGTCTTGGCATATAACACCGGTATTGGTGCGGTGCTAATGCAAGATGGTCACCTCATATGCTACATAAGCAGAGCTCTCGGTCCTCGCCATCAGGGACTCTCTGTCTACGAGAAAGAAATGCTTGATGTGGTACACGTTGTGCAGACTTGGAATGCTTACCTCGCTCATCAGCCTTTCATCATCAAGACTGATCAAAAGAGCTCAAGTTCTTGATGGAACAGAAGTTGACAACACCCTCTAAGCACATGTGGCTTTCGAAGCTAATGGGCTATACATTTGAGATTCAATACAAACAGAGCAAAGAAAATGTTGTGGCGGATGCATTATCAAGAGTCTCAGGTTCTCAACTTCTCAACATCACCTTGTCTCAGTCTCACCATGGCTTCTTCGACTCCATCAAACTTCTATGGGAGACTGACCCAAATCTTCAGAAGATCATCACTGACCTGCGCGAAAGTAAGACTTCTCACCCTCCGTTCACTTTTGTTAATGATGAGTTACGAAGAAAAGGAAAGTTGGTTGTGGGCAACAACAAAGATGTTAAATTTCACATTCTACGGTGGTGCAGTAGGAGAATTAAGTCTCTGTTTTATTGGCCCCGTATGAACGTGGAGGTCCAAGCTTATGTCCGTAATTGTTCAGTCTGTCAGAAGAACAAGAACGATCTCGCTGCTAAACCTTGTTTACTTCAGCCTTTTGCTGTTCCTAATGGTGTATGAGAGTCTATCGGAATGGACTTTATTGAAGGTCTCCCCCCTCTAACGGTAAAC